AGAGAGAGAGAGAGAGAGAGAGAGAGAGAGAGAGAGAGAGAGAGAGAGAGAGAAGGAATGAATGGGAAAAACGGCACACATCATGCTGGCTTTCATGTTGTTGGTGGCCAAGATAGACGAATAGCGATTGTCTGTTCGAAACGTTTGTTTTTTCTCTTATCGATACTAAAATATGTCAACGATTCTGGTATGAGCTTGTGTTTGGGACTTGTGTGTGTATTTGTTTGATGTGCTGCTGTCACGGTTTGATGCGATTTCATCAATAGATCTTCCATTGATATCATTTGGTGGAATGGGAGCGTACGGTGTAGAACATGTTAAATGAGCTTTGATAATTAACAGTCTGGTTTGTGTTCTAATTCCATCTCTCCCAATCGATTGCATCTCTTTTCCTTTCATTTGATTGTGACATTTTGATGTGGTGCGCAAAGAAATCTGCATTTGAAAAGGCTTGGCTGTTGTTGTATTTTTCATTTTGGAATTTATTTAAGTCACCAATTCCAGTCCACCTATTGAGAATATTATATTCAGATTACTTTCATTTTGATAGCGACGACAGCTGGACAGGAATTTCTCCCGTTTACCTTCTCTCTTTCTATCTTCATCGTCATTTGTCGTGTGTCTGCTCATGTGGTGCTTATCTCGGCAGCATGCGTGTGTAAAGGTCGTATAGTTCTACAAAAATCAATTCATTTATTCACCGTGCAAATACATCACAGATACCTTTTCCGTGAACTGGACGCACCATGCCAACCAAAGAGACGAAGAAAAAAAAAACCAACCGTTGAAATACAATTTTGTATTTCGAGATCTGTTGTTTTTTTTTTCTTGTCTGCTTCTTTTACGTAGCATACGATCAACCATGTTCCTGTTGTACTTGAGCCACATATTTGCGGTATTTAATTGTCTTTTTTTTCTGTACTGTTTCGCTCATTTCACATGGAAATGGCCGGTATATATAGAGTGTGGGCACACACTGCATAAATCATTGCTTAGCTTACGGATTTCGCTTTAGCGAATGGAATGAAGAGAATTTCTTTTCTTTTCAACTTAACACCGGTGCAAAGTTAACTTTCTTGCTCACTGATTCGGATTAATTCTTCGTTTGTTATGCCACTTCTCTATCTCTCTCTTTATTTTATTTTTTTTTTTATTGTGTCTCATGAGTACACAAGTTCTGGTGGTCTCTTGATCTTTTGTGCTCAATTGTACAACAACAAAAAAACTCGTGTTGCTAACATGTACATCGATCGAGCCAACGACACGCACAAATTATGCAGCATGATGTTCACATATACACTCAAAGTGGGGGCAATTGAATATTTCGGTACAGAACAAGAGAGACATAGAGAATTATGAATCGATGTAATTTCTCATCTTCTTTTCGTTCGCTGCGTGAGATTAAATCACAAACGCTTGTTTTGTCTTTTTTACAATCTTCAATCTACCAACGCAATATTCTAGTTCGCCTTTTTTTTCATCGATGTTGAACGCATAACGTTTAAACACATTTTCGCGCGCGCGTGGTCTTAATCTCTTAACTCGCAAACTCATTCCATTTGTTTTTATCATCGTCGGCTTTGTTTGCTTTCAATTACAACACACACACACACACACACACACACACACATTTCCAGTAGATGTGTGTACGTGAATCGGTGAATACCAATTAATACACCGCGCACATGAAATGCAAATTGAATGTAATTAGGAACTGACACACAGCAATAAATGAACTTACCACATAATTTAAACGTGTGTACTCTACCACATGATAATGGCAATTATGAAGATTTGCACCGCTTAAGTGGATTCAATCATTTTGTCAATTAAGTGGGATATTCAATGTGATTCGAGCTGAACCATTTATTAGAACGAAACAAAAAACTATCTCGGCTAATTTTCAAATCATTTGACTCAAATTGTGGCCGCATCAATAATGATAGACACAAAAAAAAGCCCGTAAGATATGAATGAACTTAGCGCCTGCCATTTCTGGGTCAAATGTCGTTTCTTCTTTCTATTTAACTTCG